TTCCCGTGGCTCAGCGGCAAGTTTGAGGACTTATAACTCTGAAAATAGAGTTTCGATACACGTGGTAGGCTAAGCACAAATAGCCCACTGTGTAGCTTTGTGCTTAACAAACAAACAAAACAAACAAATTTTTTTTTCTCTAACAAAGTATAAAAAATTGCTGTTTTACCGACGATTTTGTGACTCTTCCGACCAGTTCCAAAGGATTAATTTTCGTAAATTCCATATTTCAACTGAAAACAAACCTAAATCTACGGATGAAGGACGTGACATTACGTTTCTTCATGACACGTGTTGAACAAAATTTATTTGTTGTTGGAAGAAAAACAAAAAAGGCCCACCACATTTCCACAAACGTACGATTAAAGAAGACTAGTACTGAGGTAATTCCGTCGATGTAGGTTGTACGGAAACCAATCTCGAACACCCACTTATTTCGCCAGTTTTTGTTCTGCTTTTGATGAATAATATCTAATTCAAGGAGCTGCGGTGTTCTGGAATAATTAACACATTTGTTTGTAACATGTTAATAAAAATAATTATTTCGGCGTTTCTAATGCTTCTAAAAGTGATGGAATTTAAGCCTAAAATGTATAAGTTTTAAGATACCAATTCCTTGTGTGTCCATGACTTTATTGGTTAGAAGGCCCTTAATAACAACACGAGTCACAAAAAATTTAAACAAAATTACAGTCAATATTACAATTAATTTCACTACTGCAGCTGCTGTCTTGCGTATTTTTTCTATTTCATTTCACTACTACAGCTGGTGTCTTGCGTATTTTTTCTATTTCATTTCACTACTACAGTTGGTGTCTTGAGTATTTTTTCTATTTCATTTCACTACTACAGCTGGTGTCTTGCGTATTTTTTCTATTTCATTTCACTACTACAGCTGGTGTCTTGCGTATTTTTTCTATTTCATTTCACTACTGCAGCTGCTGTCTTGCGTATTTTTTCTATTTCATTTCACTACTGCAGCTGCTGTCTTGTGTATTTTTTCTATTTCATTTCACTACTGCAGCTGCTGTCTTGTGTATTTTTTCTATTTCATTTCACTACTGCAGCTGCTGTCTTGTGTATTTTTTCTATTTCATTTCACTACTGCAGCTGTTGTCTTGTGTATTTTTTCTATTTCATTTCACTACTGCAGCTGCTGTCTTGTGTATTTTTCCTATTTAATTTCACTACTACAGCTGCTGTCTTGTGTATTTTTTCTATTTCATTTCACTATAAATTACTCAGTAAAATGATATACGTGAACAGTATATAAAATGTGTTATTTCAGAAATGTATAATGAACAGTTTTTCGCAATTACGCTCAGTGTGTCACAAACTTAAGTATCGTTAATGTGTCACTTACAGCACTTACGTTCTCTTTCTATTTGGTAACACTCAAATCTACAGACTACGCACTTCCCTCCCTCCCTCCTCTCTTTTTTCTCCATATCTCCTTTCTTTCCTGTCCACTTTTCATTTACAGCTGGCCTGCTTTTCCCGCTTGACTTCTTCAACACAGAAGCGCATGAAGTCTTACCTCACCATCATCAGGCCTTTTCAGTAAGAAGTCTCTGTACCAAAATCAGAGTAAGCAGAGAACAATGGTAAAAATAAGAATATTTTCTACACAACCTATAAAACCTCGATCAACAAGAACCGACTTCATTCCATATTGATACAAACAAAACAGGCTACAAAAGTACTTTCAAATGTACAAACACAAAATCGTTCGAACCAACTCAAACAAGGGGACGATGGTATTGACTGATATATTGGCCACGTGATTTTCAAAGGGACATATATATATTGAGTGAAGGTTAAGTACCAACATTAAATAAGCCTGGAGAGACGAAATGTGAATCGGGGATAACTTGCACTTCTTTTAGTGAACCTCATTAGTTATTCACAATAATTACATACAAAATACATGTATTACCATGTGGTGATACGTTTTCAATAAATAAAAAGTTTAAAGAAAAGGAATGCGCTCTTTATTCAGCTCGACTGAGCGTTATCGATAATTGGTCGTTTTGCACAACCTGGGAGGGTCAAGCTCATATCGGACCTCTCCCCCCCCCCTCCTTTTTCGTTCAGCTCAGCGTTTTAGGTTTTGCGTTTTACATTTGGCGCAATGAGATCTTTTTCAGCTTCACACAAGTTCCAACAGGTGGCCGCCGTTAACGGTACAAGCTGACAAACGAGAAAAAGTCCAAAATTGGGTCATTTTTGGTTGAAACAAAACGTTATTCTCGATACATTGCCAGTAGATTCATCATATAAACCTTTAAAACGACGAAAATAATCATGTATATTTTTCATAATATGACGAAGTCCCTAAACTACCTTAAACCGAGTCTCGTCAAAATTGGTTTGCATACAATTTCGTACTGCCAGCAAGTTTTTTGTTGATAATTTTTATGTACGACTCAAATTTAAAACAAAGCAAACACGCCCATTTCCATTGTACTTTGGCAAGTTATAATGAATTAGATTATATGGATACATTTCAGAATCATTTGTTCGCGAGAAATTTTGGATCGTCAAACTACAAGGATGTTAATGCTAACAGAATGTTGCACTCACGTAACGCGCGAGGAAGGAGGTTGTTATTTAATTAATGGACCTATACATACTAAACTGTGTAGTAACCATTCAAGGATAATTAACGTGTGACTACTGAAAATACATCACCAACGTTCGAACTTAGCCCCTCCTCCTCAAGTAAGAGGGGGGCTTCAGAAGTTGACTCTGATGTCCAACACATGTTCTGCGTTTTGTCATTACGTGGTGCCGAACTATACTGACAAGTAAACGTGTGTTAGAGAATATTCATTTACGTACACCACACAGTGTGAACCTTGCATGTGAAAAGGTTTCACACATACATTATATATATACACACACACACACACTTTCAATTTTGTAGGAATAACGTGTCAGATCTTTTCTTACCCCATACCATGCTATGCATCTTTCACACGATGAAAAAAAAATCCTTGTGATGTTATTTTAACACGAAATATTATCGGCTGTCAGAAATAGCACTGGTATTGGTTGGCTGTCCCGTGTATTCTCTGAAGAATGCGATTTTATTTCAGGAGAATACAAATCAGCTCGCGGCCTATATAGAATACAAGGGTTTATTAAAAGAACGTTCATTTCAGAATCTAAGGCCCCATTATATGGTTATTTTCGCTCGAATCACGGAGTTGTGCGTGGTGTTCTCACATCCATCAGAAATTCCACACACACTATCACTGAAGGATTGATCACGACTACAGATAATATTCCAAACAACATTTATAGTTACAAAAGCCGTACGTTAAGACTACGCACAGCTTGGTTAAAATAATGACGGACAAACACATAAGACTATTCTTCCAAATTACGTAGGTTTGGAAGTTTTTGTTGTTTGCCAGTAATGGTTCTCCAAGATCAGTACCCGTTAATGGGTTTACTTAATCCACTGATTTAATTTTTAATCCTGAACTGGGTGGTTCGGGGTTGCGTCTCGAACAAATCGACAAGGGAAACTAATCGGCTTAGTACTGGCCTACCGAGACGAGTTGTGTACAACGACTCACGATACTTCAGAATATTTCAATATTCTTCATACAAGTGAGGCTACAATGTATCTGCGCTACAAAACATTCGTCGTGAAATTTGCATCAGTGGAGAGAGATGGAGAGGAGGAGGAGGGCTTCAAAGAAAGTACTATGATATTTCGTACAATACACTGTTGGTACCCAAGCAGTTTACAGAACTGTAAAACCTACTAACGTTAAGATATGACAATACGACGCATGCGAGTTCAGAATATTGAAACGTACAATTTAATAACTACAAAATGAATCAATGTCTTACGGTCTCAGCAATGACATCCGAAAGTTTATATATTAACAGATCCAAGACTGTACTATGATGAAAGATGATTGAATATTATCCCTACCACTAACAAGCAAAACTTCTGTCTGAATACCAGAGTTTTACGTGCAAAATTCGTTGTCCCCAAAAGGATAAAACTTGATATGGTTTCCAGTAAGTTCACTGCAAACACACAAACAGCACAGATGTGGGTATGGACACATGGAATTATTAACAGCCACCTAACCCTAGAATCGCGGAATGGGTCCATATAGATACCACCGGTTTTTTTTTAATAAATTTATTTTTACTAAAATATTTAAGCACTAAATTATTTATTACAGGATCCCTAATAACGAATGAATAAACACACTAAAGTTTAAAATACTATAAGTAATTCCAATTATTACTGCTAGGGGGGGGTCCCTTTATTTATTTAGTAAAAACATAGAATTACCAAATAAGATGCAATACACGACCCCACCGTAGTTACCGGTAAAAAAACAAATCGGTAATTTGACGGTTAAAGTATAAAAAGACCCTATACCGCCAAGACGTCAACTCACCCGAAAAGTGTAATCAGGCTAACCGCAGCGCTCTAAGCGGCGGGATACTACACTATTTACATGAACAAATGCTAACAAAGTCAGTGACATCATTCCCAGACTTGGTCCGTTTAATAAACACGCTAATCATCGATTTCATTAAGTTTTATCATTTTAAACCATAAGCATTTACCCCGTATTTATTACACACCCTAAACGTTCCCAACGTACTTTACTTTCCCAGCAGTTCACACCACATCAAAGAAAACTGTTCGTGAAGAGACAGCATGGTAATTCCATCTTATCATCGTAAGATATTCGTTATCAACAGACACGGGGAATATAATGTTCACACTAGTTTTCTCAGTTGGGGGCCTGACATGAACCGAGAATTAGGGCGCTCAATTGTCAATCTGCGGGTTCGAATCCCCTCACCGAGCATGCTCGCCCTTTCAGCCTAGGAAGCGTTAGTAAAAAAATTAGCTCAAGATTTTGGTGGTGGGTGGTGTTAACTAGTTGCCTTCACTCTTGTTTACCCCTTCTAAATTAGTGACGGCTAGCGTAAACAGCCCTCGAGTAGCTTTGCGCTAAATTTAACAAATTCTATTGTTGTATACTCAAAGCGTCCGCGAAGACCAGAAAAACAGCTCAAATACATTGTCACCCTACCCACTACACAAAGGTCAGGCTGCTCAATGCCCTAGGAAACAGCTATTATATATATATATATATATATATATATATATTTTATAAATAGTTTGATGTTGGTGCCTATTTTACGAACTTCAGCAATTAATATTCACTCTAACAAGAAACTATTTGATATAATTCTTCATGTGTTTACTACAAACAGTTTCAAGCGTTTAGATACAACTCCTCTTCCTGTACTATTATGATATCACAGTTTCACATTACGACTCAGTTTATTTAAACTAATACGCACTAAAGCGTGAACAGACACTAATTTTAATTTTTTCACCCGTCGATATGATCTCATATTAAAATAATAATAAAAAACATTTCTAATTGCGCGCTATATACACTACCGACCACCTCAAAGTACGAGATTAAATAAATAGTTTGATAAGTGCTTTCAAAACAGCCGTCAGATGGCGCGGTTCAAATTTCATTATGTTTAAAAAGCTAGAGAGCAGGTCATCTAAGCAGTAAAGAATCTTTGATTCAACTTTAACACCTTCAACTACCTCAGAACATACACTATACATCAAAACAGCCTACAGCAAACTAAGCTAGTTAGAACCAGAACTGTACACACGCATATTATATCCAAGTTGATGATTCCGACCTTACTTGAGTCACAGTTTTATTGATGATTACATGAAACTTCTAGAATATTCTAGCTTACCTTTTCTCAGTAGCTTTGTATTGACAAGTAAAGATTTTTGTGGATATAAAATTGAATACTTTACACGTTCATATTTCTTGCTTGAAGAATTTGGACACTGTTTTTAGTACAAGGTTTGCAATTGATGGGAAATGAGAAACATTCAAACCTTTCTTAGCTAAAAAACTTCAAATCTGTGGTTTGAATCCCATTATTAAAAAAAAAAAGTTCTAATAAAGCGTAACATTTGTAAACTTTAGAATGATTATAACATTAACTCTGCAAGTTGAAATGTTTTTCTTAATTTGACACAAGTAAAGGTTTCCTATTTATTAACAGTTAACAAAACATTCACCCGTTAAGCTCGTTTCTATAAGCTTTAACGAAAGTTAGTAGTAATGGGGCGGTTTTGGTGAACACTCTCGTCCAAAGTAACATGAACCAAATGTTACCATTAATGAAATGTGGCATCAAAGAACAACGAGAAATAAAAAAGTCCACCTGACGGCAAGTGTACGTACAGCAATGTTAACAACAACGTGTGTAAAGGTATCGATAGTGAACACTAATTCACCGCCATTGTTCTATCGGTTCTGTAATGATTCGGCACCAAAGTTTTTTTTTTTACATCATGATCCCATTGTAAAATACCAAAAGTGCTCTTTGCTAAGCCTTACTCTACGATGGTTTCACACATTACATCATTTTGACCTGTAATTACTGTACAATAGACATTCTGGATACAAAAAGGTCGTGTGTGTGTATATTGTATTGAAAGTAAAAACGTTTTAAGTTTTATTAGTTTACGTCCGCCACACCCTAGTTTCTCTCTTGTTTAGAATACTTATATAACTGCTTATTTGGAACTTTGGAGCTAGTAGTATTAATACTTCACTGATAACACCTGGAAACTGAATATAGAATAATTCCCGATTGAACTGTTAGTCGGACAGTGTGTAAACGTCAACGATCTGCTTTCTGGACCAGAGTTAATAAGTTCTGTACAGAAGTAAACTGAATACAGAACTAAGATCGTCTCTACGAAGTAATGTATAACACTGATGACAATACTGTATAACAAATGGACTAGAAATAACGTAATAAATCAATAAACTAGGAAAACTGAACCTACAATATACTGAATCATCAATTGGATACACTCGTTTTTTTTTTACCAACACGCGTAGAGCTAGTGGCCATAATTCTGTACTGTTATTACCATGGTAACGTACAGCAGCTACTTTTAGCATAATTTTGTAGTTAGAGGGTTGGGTAAGTCGAGCGTGTTGAAAGTTGTACTCACTGCTTTGTCTGGAAACATAAATCTGTCAATTCATTGAAACGGTTCCAGTTACTTCTTTGTTATAGTGAGAATAAAGAACAATATTTTAGGTCAGAAAAATGACCTTGATCATCGGAAATTAAAGTTTGTAAACCACAATTTTTCTCTGGGATATAATACAATCTGTTGTTAATATCTTCTTGTTTGGCCTTAAGAAAAACTTGTGATAAAAAAAAGGGGGAGTAACGTTAATAAATTGAAGAGTTTTGAGCTACAAGACTTAACACTCAAATTACAGACTTCTTTTCATACCGTTCACCACAGCGGTGAGTATCGTATTGAGTAATTTTATGGTTTTAATTATTACACTTCTAAATGTAAAGAGTTGACCAAAAAGTGGATAAAATCTTGTACATGTTTAAAAGACACAGGAAACCCATACCAGTGGTTATGGAGGTTACTTGCAATACCGATAGTATTTAGATTTAGATTTTTTTATGTGATTCGTATGCTTTAGGAGCCCTTTACCCAACAAAGTTGTGAACCCAAAAACGTGTATATATTTAGATTTTTGTTTTTAAAGTTATTGAGGTCCATGAACCCTATCAGTAGTTCTACAGTTAATATGATAACATTTTGCTAGTGATAAACTTCTCACTGCGATATTATGCTTCAAATTTAAAATAAAACACCACATACATACATACACGTTTACGCGTCTAGGAGAACGAACACTATAGAATATGGAAAACATGAACATGTATGTATGTATGGAATGGTTGCCATAAACATGAAAATATCAAGTAATTATAAATGAGCTGAACTAGAATAACAACCAATTAACAAACTAAACCTTGTATGGCTGCAGTCAAAAGGACTGTTAAAGGAGAATCCAGCCTTTCTCTTGAAGCTAAGTTTCACACTTCATTGTATTGTTCTGTACTTGAGGTTATTCTGATCTAACTTGTACCCTTCACTGCCACAACATATAGTACTGTGTTAACACCACACAACGTTCATGATACTGATATACATAATCTTTCAATTTCTACATTAAAACTTAAGTTCCCTGTTTTTTATTATTATTATTATTGTAATGATTATCACAACACAAAACCTGGGCCTTAACTCAAAATGTTTAGCTAATTTAAGAGATTGTTTTCGTTAATAATATCAAGAGTTAAATGAAACCTAACCAACAAAATTATGCCATTAAGTCCTAATTAACTACTTTTTGCAATGACTCATAATTGTCCCGAATATTATCTATAGCAATCTATTTTCCTGTCAATTTTGAGTCTTTTGTGATTATTAATGCTTTCCGACACTATAAAGTATTCTCATACTGGTTACTGAGTCCAGGGCTACGCTAGAAGTTTGGATTTCGTTACAATGGAAGCTCAAAGAAGGTAGCTTCTTAATTCGAGAAAGACACCATGACTTTTTAAAAGTTCAATACTATCCATCGCTATTGTATTTTTATTTAAAACATCGGTAAACAAAACATTTTTGTCACGATTGACAAAATTCTTCGTATTTCAGTGGCTCACTAAAACTTATGTAAATATCAACCTTGTCTCTCTTACAATAATATAAATATCAACCTTGTGACTATTACAATAACATAAGCCGAAGGAAAACACTAAGTTCTTTAAACATTTATTCATGAGGAAATGTATACCATACAATAATTATTTTGTAAACAGGTCTGTGCACACAACTGTACGTCCTTATATATAATTGTTTTTTTTAATAATTCAAGAATAACAACGTTAAAGCCGTAACAAATAAACTGGAAATTATTTCTCCACACCAAAAGTCAGTGCCCCAAAAGCCTTTCGTTCATAACCAGAACTCTCACCCACTCCGTATCATGGGAGAGACAAATTTTCATTTATGTGTGCAATTTAATAATTTCAAAGTTACTTATTATAATGAACTTTTGTTTTAAAGTCTGAAATGGACAAATTAAAAGAAACGTAAAAGAAAAAACCATCTCCAGTTTAGGTGATTTTTATATTGAAGACTTGTGCCTGGTCATCACATTACTCCACTTGTAACACGTGTTTAAATATGAAACCCGTGTCTGATCAGCACATTACTCCACTTGTAACACGTGTTTAAATATGAAACCCGTGTCTGATCAGCACATTAATCCACTTGTAACTCGTGTTTAAATATGAAACCCGTGTCTGATCAGCACATTACTCCACTTGTAACACCTGTTTAAATATGAACCCCGTGTTTGATCAGCACATTACTCCATTTGCAACACACTGTTAGATATTTAATCTGTATACGATCAATACTCAATTTGAGATCTATCAGTATCTTAACGTCTTTTTTTTTTTTTTTATACTGGATCTCATTTGAGCGTGCGTATATTTTTATAGCAAAGCCACATCGAGCTATCTGCTGTGTCCATCGAGGGGAATCGAACCCCTGATTG